CCCCCCAGGGAAAAAAATACATCAGGTAATAAACAATATTTGACAAAGCATTAGTCTGCAATTTGTGTATTTGGGAGTCAGATGCAGTTCAGCTCCTTCCTAAACATCATCTCTTTCCTCTCGCTCCCTCGGTGATGCCTTCTTATGCAGATCTGTGTTGGAGTGATTCACGTCTATAGTAAAGTATCCCCCTGAGATTCTTCTGAGGCCCATAAAGGTAACACAGGTAGTTGTAGTTACAGTTGTGCCATCTAGTACAACCCCCTGAAGCAGCACGTAAGAGTGGCCCATTTAGTCCTGTATTCTGTCTTCCAGCATTGGTCAATGCCCAATACTTCAAAGGGTATGAACAGAACAGAGTAATCATCAAGTGACCCACAACCTTTCATTCAGTCTCAGTATCTGACTGTCAGGTGGTAGGGGTGCCCGGAGCATGGGGTCGCATCCCTGAGCCAAGCAGCAGTGCTCCCTGTTAAACCAAGTAAGCTCACAGAAACATGCCTGAGTTAGTAAGGACAGGAAATGGTCCAGCTAGGGGTAGAGCAACACCACCACAGCTCCCAGTACCTCCCAGGGTCTGCTGCAGTCACAGACAGCTGAGCTTGAAACCACAATGAGGGAGTGATGACTTCATAGTATCACACTGGATATGGCTGAGGAGAGGCATACTGCTTGGAAAGCTCCCTCAGATGCGTCTTCTCTCCCCCACGGTGTGAGGGAGATTGAGTGTCTGAAGAGGACAGACTGTTGGGAGGTTGTCAGGTGGTATGACTGACAGGGAAGTTTACACTGCAGAGGGGTGTAGACATTTCCAGTGGCTCTGTGTTCACGTACTGTACGTGTCTAGATTACATCCTTAAAATGGGAACATTTTTCCGGCCTCAGGGGCCCTCAGACTTCCCTCTGCCCAAGGGTAGCATTAGCGCTACACCATCAGGCCCATGTGCAGGAATTTCTCGGGGGGGGGGGAAGGGGAGTGAGCTGTGGGAGGGGCTGGTGGCTGCCCTGTCCCCATGGCCCAGCCCCACCCCCTGGCCTCTCTCCTGAGGGAGGAAAAATGGAATCAGCCCCAGTCTTCCCCCAGCCGGGCAGAGCATGGGGGAGGGAGGCTGGCAGCACCCCATCTCTGCTTTCCCCTGGCCAGCCAGAGCATGAGGGAAGGAGTCTGGCACAGTGCACTGCCTCTGCCTTTCCCAGACCAGCTTGAATCTGCCCCATGGTGGACTATGAAGGACCAT